GAAATAGTACACTAAAAGATTAAAAACTGCCTGATTGGTCTCAAAATACAATGGTAAAGGAGGAATCCTCAGGATGGTATATTTCTAGTGGGGTCCTGCAGGGTGTGGTTCTTGGTGCTATACTACTTAATACTCCTATCAGTCATAGAAAATTAGGATTGGAAGGGACCTCAGGAGGTCACCTAGTCCAAACCCCTGCTCAGAGCAAGACCATCCCCAGCTAAACCATCCCAGCAAAGGCTTTGAATATAGTCAGATCTCCAAGGATCTGACTATAGGTCCACAACCTCTGTAGGTAATTTGTCCCATTGTTTTACTCCTCTTCTAGTGAGGAAGTTTTTCTTAATATCCAACCTAAACTTCCCTTGCTCAGCTTGAGACAATTGCTCCTTGTTCTGTTATCTGCCACCAGTGAACACAGTCTTTGGAACAACTCTTCAAATAGTTGAAGGCTGCTATTAAATCCCCCCTCTGTCTTCTCTTCTGCAGACTAAATAAGCCCAGTTTCCTCTGCATCTCCTCAGAAGTCCCTCTGCTGAACTCTCTCCAATTTGTCTACATCCTTTATGTAGTAGGGGGCCCAAAACTGGACATAGTCTCCAGATGTGGCCTCAGCAGTGCCAAATAGAGAGGAAGTATCACTTCCCTAGATCTGCTGGCAATGCTCCTACTAATGCAGCCCAGTATGCTGTTAGCCTTCTTGGCAACAAGGGCACATTGTTGGCTCATATTCAGCTTATTGTCCACTGTAAGCCCCAGGTCCTGTTCTGCAGAGCTGCTGCTTAGCCAGTACCTGTGCATGGGACAGTTCAGTCCTAAATGTAGGACTTTGCACTTCTTATTGAACCTCATGAGATTTCTTTTGGTCTGATCCTCCAATTTGTCAAGGCCTCTCTGAACCTAGTCCTACCCTCCAGCATATCTACTGCTCCCTCCAGCTTGGTATCATCTGCAAACTTGCTGAGGGTGCACTCTATCCCACCTTCCAGGTCACTCATTAAAAAGTTGAACAAGACAGGCCTCAGGAATGACACCTAAGGCACCCCACTTGGTACCAGCCACCAACTAGACATCAAGCCATTGGCTACTACCCTCTGAGCCTGATGATCCAGCCAGTTTTCAATCCACCTTACAGTTCATTCATCCAACCTAGACTTCCTTAGCTTGCCTGAGAGAATGTTGTGGGAGACCATATTAAAAGCCTTGCTAAAATCAAGGTATGTAAAATCCACTGGAATGCCTGTATCAGCAGAGCCAGTCATCTCATAGAAGGCAATCAGGCTGGTCAGGCACAACCTGCCCTTGATGAATCCATGCTGACTGTTCCTAATCACCATCTCCTACTCCGAGTGCTTAGTAATAGATTCCTTGAGGAACTGGTCCATGATTTTTCCAGAAGAAGAAAACACAAAATTAATATTGATCAACCTTGCAGATAACATAAAAAAACTCGAGTGGAAGAAAGAATGGAGGGGGCAGGTTCTGATACAGAGTAATCTGGTTATCTTGGTAAATTGGGTGCTAGCAAAAAAATGTGGGATTTCCCCTCCCTCCTCCCCCTTATGGCCATAATTCAAGTCAGACCTCTTGGGAAAAGACTTTATGCCACAGTTACAGGAGCAAAGATGCCCTGCCACCTAGCCGGGCAAGAAATCTCTCTGAAAAGAGATTAAGATATTGATAACCACATGAGTTTGACTGCACTACTGTAGATTTAAAAGCAGAAGAATAAATGGTAGGAGCAGGGAGGTTGCAGTACTTCTGCACTTGGAACTGGTGTGACCACTGCAGGTATAGTTTCAGTAATTCAAGCATTGTACTGGAAAATGAAGAGGGTTCATGAGAATGATTAAGGAATTAGAAAATAGGTCTTCCATTGGAGACTCAAGATGCTAACTCTGGTTTATTAAAGAGTGACTTGGTATGTCTATGAGTAAAGTAAAACCTGTCTAAGACAGAACCTATGAAAACCAGAATCCTGCTCAAAGTTGAAAAACTTCTACAATCCCAGCATCCCTTACAGGGAATTATGTGTATTTAGTCTATATATGCTGAAAACTATCTAATGCAAAAACAGAAAGAAAACTGGGGCCCACTTATAAAAATCACCTTCTAAATCACAGAAGTAATTACCTATTTTGTGTGTGTGTGTGCATGGTGAGATCACAGAGCAGTGAAGCTGGGGAGGAGAGAAAGAGAGAGAAAGAGAAGCTCTTCCTATAAGATAGAAGACATTTTAAGCCAGAACTCCCCCCCACCCACCCCATGCCCTGGGCCCCCGCGATTCCATCTTAGACAGGTTTCACTGTATCTGGGAGGGGAACAGAAAGCTGATAAGGTTCTTCAGTTTAGCAGGCAAAGGCATAACAAGATCCAATGGCTGGAAGCTGAAGCCAGACAACTCCTCCAAGACTAGAAAGAAGATACAAATTTGTATCAGCAAAAGCAACTGGCCACCGGAACATCTTTCAAAGGGCTATGGAAGGCTCTCCATCACTGACAATTTTTGAATTAGAACCAGATTTTTTTCTGAAACATATGCTCTAGGTAAACATGAGATAATTCAATGACGAACTACACATCTTATATGGGAGGTCAGACCTGAGACTTTCAATAATGCCTTCTTATAATCTGTGACTAAAACTGGCTTTTATTTAGAGTTCCAGTCCAGTGTCCAGTCTTGGGTAGTTCACTGGGCTGCGCATGGCAACCCAGTGAATGGGTAAGGCATGTCAGTATCTGGAGGACACATAAGTCAGTGATGTAGTCACAATTACATCTATCCACCTTTTGCTCCCAGGTACCCATTCACATCTCAGTCAGCCTAGAGAAATCTCTAGGACACTTCTGAAGCAAGGCTCAAACTCATGCCTCTGGATATACAACAAATGCTTTGAGCACCCTATCACCTTTATTTAGAATCAGTTGAAAGTTTACGTTGATGCACTGTTCACCAAATATGGCCCTTTGAGTGAAACAAAACCACCCTGGGAAACTTTTAAATCTCAAGCAAATCTGAGGGGAAAGAAAAAAATGGAAGATAAACTTGAGGGTTTGGATTCCACCTCCTCCTTATCCTCCACCACTCAGTTATCTGAGAGAACATGGGGGAAAAAAGATGGGGAGGGGGAGCAAAGATGGACTTTTTCAATTACTGAAAACTAATTCAACTTTCCTTTTTCTTCTTTGGAAGTGTATAGTATTTTTGACCAGCTTTATCCTTAATAAGTGACTACTGAACAAAGGTAGGGCAGTGTGACATCTTAGAGATGGAAAACTAGATGCACAGGGCTAGATATTTTTCTGCAACACAAGGAGATTTTTCATACCCCACAGCTCTAAGCTTATGTTAGAGGGGAAATGTGTATAACAGGGAGCCTTCGTGCCCAACTAGCTTGCTTCCACAGAAAAAGGAACACTGCATTCAAGTATTCATATTAATCACGTTTTACTTCCTTATGTTTTACTATTTCTCTGTCCATCAGAGTACAGAAGAAGATAGGGAAGATAAAATTTCAACTGGAGTTACACAGTAAGCCACAAAAGAGAAAGCTCAAGATGCTTTCTCAGAAAAGAAAAAGTAATCTAAGTCTGTGCTCATTCTCAGTTAGCTCATATGAAACATGGATCTTCCTAGCTTCAGTAAGTCTCACAAAGAATAAGTTTTTAATCAAGGTCTTCCATCATGATATATCATTCAATATATGCAACACAACCTGCTGTTAGTTCATTCAAATTAACCTTTTTCTCTTTGCTGATATTCAAACACTTCCCCCTCTCTTTTTATAGATCTAGCGAAGTGCCCACAAGAATGACAGGCAGGCAGTGGAGACAAAGCACCACTACCTACCGCCCCATGCTGCTGCTGCTGCTGCTGCTGCTGCTCCACGTGCAACCCCCCCCCCAGCTCTGTGTCTGGCCCCATGTGCCTCCCCCCACACCTGACACGCACCCACCCACACACATCCAGACACATGCCACACCCACCTACCCACACACCACACCAACACCCACCCACAGACATACCCACTCACCCAGCCACATGCCACACACACACCCAGCCACACGCCACACACACACACTCTGCTGCATGCTGCACACCCACAGTCACACACACAGCCACAGTCACATGCCACTCCAACACCCAGCCCCATGCCACGTACACGTGCCTCGCTGCCTGGCCCACCACACCCTGCAGCAGGACTCACATGGCATCACACTGCTGTCAAACCTGGAGCAGCAAGGCAAGGAGCATAGGCGGAGCAGATGTCACAGCTGCAGCTGCCCCTGCCCCATGCACATACCGGGGGCCATGTGCCCTCCTTGGCTCCCCAGCGCTGCCTCTGTAGGAACCACCAGGCTCCAAGTGTCCCATGGCCCAGCCTGGCTGGGGCTGTATTCACTGTGACTGGGGCCTCAGCCAGGCTGGGTCATGCAGGGATGCAGCGCTGGGAAGCCCAGGGGACAGCATAGGCCCTCCTCCCCCAGCTTCTCTGTGGTGTGCACAGTGGTGGGAGCCACCCGTCCCCAAGCCCTGGAGGAGCCAACGGACTCCCCTGGCCCCAGAGCCCAGCCAGACCTGAGCATAGCCCCCCTCCTCCGCCAGGATCAACCTGGCGCAGCCTCAGCCCCAGTCCCCACTGTGGCCCCCCTCCTCTTCCCACCCCACAGCTGCAGCTGGCAATTGCTCCCCATGGGCAGAGCACACAGCCACAGGGTGCCACACAGAAAGTGGGTGTGGGGGGCGCACCTTGCCCTGTGTTGTAGCTGGCAGGCACTGCTCAAGCACCCTGCGCCTGCTCCTTGCAGCACCCTGCGGCCACACGCCATACCCCACCATGTGCCACATACCCCCCACAGGGCCACAAGCCATGGCCCTCACCTCCCCCCCTGCACAGTGGAGCACAGCCTAGTCCCCACCACCTCTGCCTCTGCCTTTGCCTCCACCTCACCTATGTGTCTGTCTGTCAATAAGGCTCCGGGCGGTACATGAGCAGTTGGCCCAGAGCATTACAGATGGACACACACACAGCCAGAAGTGCCACAGCTTTTATTATATTAGAATACTCATCTCCAAGAAAGAGGAGACAAATCATTTATGCTATATATTTCCTATGTGCAGTAGTGTATGTCTTTTCCTAATATAAATGGAGGCTGAAATAATAATGGGCACTTCTACTAATCTCATGGGAACTACAGCATTGTTTTACTGTTTCAGTCTTTGAGAATTTCTCCCTCTTCAATCCCATCTCTTTCTCTTTTGTTATCCTGTGACTTCACCAAGCTTGTACCTGATTTTTGCTCCTCTGGAAGGAAATAGCTATTTATAAAGTGACAACAGGGTGGAAAATATTGCACTGAGGTTAAACTAATCCCAGTTTAACCTCTTGATCTTGCCAGTATGATTTATTGTCACGGGCTGCTGTGTTGTTTGATTCTATATATACACACACACATTTGTTACTTTTCTGATGAACAATAAAATAGAATGTGTATTGCACTTCAGCTGCCTTCTACGGTATTCCCTTAGCCCTGTCTGTTCAGTGGTGCTACCTAGGCTTTCATCTCAGCTGTCAAATCAGCTTAGAACATTTATCTTCTTTTGGTAATTCCACAGACACAGTAAGTTACTTTGAACTGGACCCTGCCAGCAATATCTAAGAGGGAGAAACACATGTGAGAAGGACAGGATGGTTGGCAGCAGTTTACTGGCAGAGGAAAGTATGGAGCAGTGCTGAACACTTGTTCTTCATTCTTCCTTATTTTCCTAGACTGATCATCACCATCAATTATTCTGATGCCAAAAATCTGGAGAAAAAATGGATATTTATCGTCTGACTGAAATTGCTTCAGTGGTCACTTCTTATGGAAAATGCTTTTGGAGATCTTCCTATCACCTGTCTGTCACACACCTTCCACTGAAAGCTTGTATCCCCCATTTGCACTGGTTCATGGCCTTGGGAATGGTTGCTGATACATGTTGGAGCTTGGGCCCCCTCTTGGCCAATGCTCTATTCATTGGCAGTGACAGGATGGATCCTTGTGTGTGTCACTCAGGTATTCGGGTCCTATTCAATCTCACCTGCCATGACTTGGGCTTATCTTCTTTGGGAGGCAGTTCCCCATAGGTGACTCTCTGGACTTCACACCCTGGCTTCTTCATGGTGCTCCAACCTCTCCTATACCACGCCCTTACGACATCCAGGGCCTGAACTGATGTCAGCGTCTTGATGTTTAAGGCCACAGACAATAATTCTCTCATCCTTCATCAACAGTCTTTGGTATGAGCCCATATCGGAGGCCAGCTCTGCACAGGCTGTCTCTTGTTGATTTGAGTTGGAATCAGGAAAACTAAACTGTCTCTGTCTGAAGATAACAGCTCAGGAATGAATACTCAGAATGTGAATGATAAAAAAGATCAGCATCTGCTGTAGTATGCCTGAGATACTTCCCCAGATTTACTTGCTCCTGGTGGGAGCCTCCCTTTGCTTTTTCTGGGCTTCCCTTTTCCCAGTTACTTAGGGGTCAGCAGGCCTTCCAGCCCCTTTCTATTTCCTCACAGTATTAACGGGGCACTCCCAAGTGAGCTGCTGCCCCTCCCACCTTGGCCTTGTCTGACCTGGGTCCCAGATGGCTCTGGTCAGTACTCCAGCCTCTGGTCCAGAGACCTCTTGCTCACTTTTCTTTCAGCATGGCCCTCTTACTGCCACTACTCAGCCCCTCAGTGTTGGCAGCCCAATCTGAGCTTCCTGCTGGATTCCTGTCTGGGTCCTCTGCCACAGGACCCTGTCCTGCCTCAGAAGCCTCTTCACTACGCGCCTCACCGTGGCACCTCTCAGCTGTGGCACTCTGCCCCACCTCTAAGACCACGTTGCCACACGTGTTGCTGCTGCACATCTCAGCAGCCACACTCTCAGCAGCCACACACAGCCCTGCCTTAGGGGCCTCTCTGCTGCACACCTTACTATGGCATGTCTGGGCCGTGGTATTCTGTCCCGTCTCCCAGGTCACTCTGCCAAGTGCCTGTCCTCTGCGTGTCTCTCTCAGCAGAACCTGCCTCGCTTCCAGTGTCCTCCTGCTACACTGTTCTGCCGCTTAGCTCCGCCCCCTCTCCCCACTGATTTGCGGGGCCATGATGCTCCTGAAGTAGCATGCCAGAGCCAGCTTGCTGCCAGTTTTTGCCACCTGCCCTAAGGTAGACAATGTGGGGGGGGGGGGGGGGAGAAAGGGGCCCGGTCCCCTTTTCCCCCTCTCCGGGGGCCTTTTTTTTTTTTTCAC